TCTCACCTCTTCTCCCTCCCTGGGAAACAACCCTCAAGCATTCGCAGACCCCTCACAACTAAATAAGTGAAGAAGAATAGAAACCAGGACTTTCCATCCAGACATCAACCACTATAGGCTTCTCTTCTTCAGCAGCACCATGCTGGGATGGGAAGAGGCCTCAGTTTTAAATTGAGATTAAAGTGGGGATTATCACTGGGATCAACATTATAATATCTGAAGTGAGACTGAGACCAAGGGTGACCAGAACAATCATGTGACTTGCCTAAATTTCATCCAGGGGCAGAGCAAGATCTGCTACCCAGAATAAATTTAAGGAGCAATAAGAGGTAAAAACCAGTTTCCTTTCTGATTTTACCCCATGAGCCATGCTTATTTAATGGAACAGTTACACATTATCAACTGTTACTTAACATGCATAGATCTTGCATCTCCCACTACATCAATCATAAACTCTTTGAGGGCAGGGCCGCCTATGCTATTTATCCTCATATGGACACCACAACCCAGCAAAGTGCCTTGCATGTACACAGTAGGCACCGAAATGGCTGCATTTCTGACCAAGAGGGATTATCCCCTGTGAGTCAACACCAGGCCATTACTGTACTTCCACCAAGCCTGGCACAAAGGTGAATAGCAAGTTCTGGCTGAGTTGAATTGACTCTCCTTAAAGACAGAGCCTGTGTTCAAGGAATTCTGGTATAAAATGATGTTGCGGGTTACCCAGACTTAAGAGTAAAAGGCACAGAGATGAAGTAGGTGTGGATGATCATGTTCTCTGTCTCTGTTCAGGCTCCTCTCGTTCTGAATTGAGGAGAAGGCTAAGACACAAGAGGAATTTGCAATCAGACCCAACACATACCCTGTGATACCACGAGTGAACGATGCAAGTGCCCCATTAGGCCTGGAACTGAGCTGAATTCATTTTTTGAGTAAGGAATCTTGAAGAGCTCCTGTCTTCAAGATTATATAAAATGATCTGAATTATGTACTTATGAGATAATAAATTAGCTGAAGAAGCACAGAGCCCAACTCTTTAGATAAGGAAGTAGTAAATCTCAAGTGGCTCAAGAAGCAAACTTTTCTACAGATGAAGGTTATGAAAAGGAAATGAAAGACCAGCTGATTCTGGTGTGGGGCTGGTAACGCTGGAGAACACACTCTGTCATCCATTTCATGTGACCACCTCACTCCTCCTGAATGATCTCTTTTGCTGGCATGGCCTCCATCAATGGTCACAGGTCAGGGAGGTAATAGAGAAGATATTTGAGCATCTCCATTAATAAGTCCAAGTGCCTGATTGCTGCCTCTCTGAGATGAACTTAACTGAAGGGAGGATGGGCAGGCATTCCGTCAAGCAATGGCCAGTTACGGAACACCTTCAGTGAATAGGGAAAGATGGCTCTCCTCAGACTGAGCAACCCAAAATAAGCTAGGAGGTTTAGGGGGAGAAAGAGCACAGTTGGTGGGTTTTGGGGATGCTCCTGAGAACATTCCTCAGCTTATGAATTCACAGCTCATTCCCAAATCCTAGGAGAGTAAAAATACCCTTTCTCAGGGACAGAAGCCCACAAAGCCAAGGGCTCTGTATTTCTAAGTCAGGATTTCATCAAGGGCTGGGTGACCCTTTCTTGGATACACAGCAGATTCACAGGAGTCCTGATATGCAAGAACTGCGCAGTCTGTTACATCTAGGAAGAGAGATGAGGACCGGTTCCCTGGCTTCTCATGCATCACCTGCCTCTCGTTCCCTAGAGCCTTAGGAAGCGGATCTTTGGTAAAGGATGCCTCCTTCAGGGGGACAGCTTAGTTGAAATGGGGATTTTTATACAAGTCTCATGTTTCCTGGACTCTTAGGAACCTCCAAGAAGATGCTGAAAATAACCCTTATTGAATTAGAAGAAGCTTGAAGTAAACACAGGACCAACTACTGTGACTTCCATGGCTAAAAGCATGGATTTGAGAAGGGTAGTTGGACCTCTGTACAGAGAATCTCACTAGATCCAGATAGCAGCCCCTCAGTGCAGGTCCGACCTCACACAGATGCACACGGGCATAGACGCGCTCCTCTCCAAAGGTGGGGACAGGGGAACACAGAATAGCAACACTACCACAGGACAATGTGGTCATTATCCAATTTGTCCTTCTCTATGTTGAAGTAGTTGAAGATTAATTTGAACGTCAGATTGTTCCTTATCTTTGCTCTCTCAATCTTGCACAGACTTTTAGCAAAAAGCAACAAAATTCTCACCTGACCTTACGTGGGCTTGGAGATTCGTGCCTACACTACTGGGTTCATTCATTCACATCCCAAAACCAAAACCTACAGTCAAGCTGTTAACTCCATATATTTAAAATCCACTCTACTCACCCGTGCTGTAGCCTGTTGCTCTGGTGCCCTAGAATCCAATCCTTTAGGGTGGGCCTTACAGTTGGAACCCACTGCCTCTCCTTTTTTCTGCCCCTGCTATTAACATAGCCCCTCCTCTATTGCCTCACCAACCAAAGATCTTAGAACCAGAAGTCTTTGTCTATTCACAGACACTGTAAAAGTAACATTCGTTTTTTAAGTTTTTTAATCTAATGTCTGTGTCTTCTGTAATTCTTACTGGTTTATCTAATCAGTGTGTCCTAGGGAGATTTATTGTTGCTGTTTAGCTTGCCCAAGCACAGGAAGCCAGCTCGGGCATTTACCCTGAGAGAATCAGCTCCTTTAAAAGAGACAATCGTCAGGGGAAATGGCAGATCTTCTGCCTCTTCTCTCCTTAGCCTGAGGCTAAGGAGAACGTTCCATATCCTACAGCCCTTCCAGCTCTGCAAAACCCAATTCCTGACTCTTTAGAGAAGGATATGAACTAGAGAAACGAAGGCAGCATTTGAGCAAATCAAACCTTACAAGAAAAAGATTGCATACTTTGTGATTTTTCAGTTTTGTGCTGATTTTTGCCCTCATTTTAACTGCTTTGTTAAGTAGGAAAGACACTGAGGGAGCATTCAGTGGGAAGAGGACAAGACAGTGAGTGGGAAGTAAGGGGGAAAGAAGTGGTAGTGAGGGCCTGCACATGGTGTGGGGGAGGGACACAGTGTTGGGGTGAGGGCACATGATGTTGAGGGGTGGACACCCAGGACTGGGAGGTATGGGCACACAGTGTTGGAGCATGCAGGCACACAGGGTTGGGGGGTGGGCATACAGGATTGGGGGTTAGCACACAAAGTAGGAGGAGTGATGAAGAGGAGTGTGCTGAAATCTCCAGTGCTTAGGCATCTCTAGACACCAAGCATTGGGCCTGGTGACTCATACACTTTCCCTTATTTAACTCTCACCAGTTCTGCCAGGTGAGGCTTTTCATCCCCAGATGAAATGTTGCAGATATGGCAACTGAGGCTCAGAGAGTGTAATAGTAGTCCATGGACTCACAGATGTAGGAGTAAGAGCCGGGGTTGGAAGTTCCAGTAAAAAATGAACTCCACTCCTCTTCTTACTCAGGCCTTATCGTAGATTTACTGAATGTCTTCAGACCCATGTTTCAGGGTTTACCTTCTCTTTCAGATAGGAACTTTTATCTTCTGGCATAAAGTCCTCACTCTCTTCCCAGCTCACTGGGGTTTCCCCCCAGTGGAAAAGCCACACATGCAGCAGACATATGGGCAGGTGTGTTTTGGAGACAGTGGCTGAGCCTTAACATTAACCCTATACCTAATTTTTTTCCACAATCCATGGAATCAAAGACTAGTAAGACTAGGATGACTGACTCAGCTTGGTTTGCCTGGCACTTTCCCGGTTTTAGCTCTGAAAGAACTGCAAGCCAGGAGACCCCTCCATCTTGGGAACATCAGGATGGCCTGGCCCAGAAGGTACGGTCTCCAGCCTCATGGAAGTGAACTGTCCTGGCAGCAGAGTGTTGTTCTGCTTGTGTCCAGTGTCCACCGAGAGTTCGCTGGAACACTTGCCTGTTCCCCTGTCCAGCTCTAATGTCATTTTTGCTGTCAACCAATGCACATTCTTGTTTACGTTTTTTTGGCTTAAAACAAAAAAAGTTATTCCAAGAGTCCTTATTTACTTTGAGAGACTTTCTGCCTTGCCATAGAAAAAAAGCCATTCAATTGTTGTGTGTGAACAAAGGGACAGGTAGGGTGGACTGTGGGGCACACACCCAAAGTGCCACTGACTGCCACAATGCCTGCTGTCCCAGAGCCACAGGGTTTCCCACTTTACCTAATTCTCAGGTGACTCCCTCTTTTCTCTATGTAAGGAGGCAGGTTCCCCAGCAAATGCGATGCAAGCATAGTTAATTGGTAGAACCCAGTTTACATCCAGAAATCTAGCAGCAAAGAATACTGAGAAATAAGGTTTTGGGCTTTCCAATCTGTCCAGTCACAGGAGGTGAAAAGGAGGGGCGCCTCAGTGGCTCAGTAGGTTAAGCATCCAACTCTTGATTTTGGCTCAGATCTTGATCTCACAGTTCATAAGACTGAGTCCCAAGCTGGGCTCTGTGCTGACAGCACAGGGCCCGTTTGGGATTCTCTCTCTCCCTCTCTCTGTCTCTGTCCCTTCCCTGCTTGTGCTCTCTCTCTCAAAATAAATATAAATGTGAAAAAAAAAATGAAATAAGTAAAAAGGAGGGCAGGAGGGCAAAAAGGATCTTAAGAGAGACTATCCAAGAATGTACGACAAGGTTTTTAAGTCTTTACCAATTGGTAAAGCTACATTTGGTCTTCCAATTGACTATGATGTGTTTGTTCCATAAAATAGAAGCCAAGGTAAGAGGGGGTGGGAGTGAACAGCATTCCGCCCTTAACTGTGCCCAAGCCTGGGCCACTCGGCCATAGCTAGGAAGCAGGCTCTGCAAGAACATGGCAGGCCCACGTGAGCCACATGAATACAGTCAGACTGGAGGACTTTCCTGCCAAAGGGACAGGTGCTGGGTGTCTGATCCCAAAGAATCTACTGTACAGTAATCCTCCTTATCCACAGTTTCACTTTCTGCAGTTTCAGTTACCTGCAGTCATCCGTGGTCCAGAGGCAGGTGACTCTCCTTTACCCACAGGTCAGTCGTAGCCTAACGGTATGTCACAGTGCCTACATCATTCACCTCACTTCATCTCATCACGTGGGCCTGTTATCATCTCACAGCATCACAAGAAGAAGCATGAGTACCGTGTAGTAAGCTATTTTGAGAGAGAGAGAGAGAGACCACATTCATGTAACTTGTATTACAGTATATTGCTATAATAATGTTATTATATAATTGTTATTAATGTCCTACTGTGCCTACTTGATATTAAACTTTATCATAGGTATGTTGCATATAGGAAAAACAAGTATATATAGGGCCTGGAGATGTACTCCGTGGGTAAGGGAGAACTACTTTACTTGTTTTCCAGCACTGCTTTGGAATTTTTTTCCCTTTTCTTTCCTTTCTTTCATTGAAAAAAAAAGTGTAATTTCAGGTGAACTTAGGGGGGAAAGAGAAGTAAATGTGAGAGTTCAGTTCATCTCGAACTAGAGTTTTTGATTCCTACTGAGGTTGACTTTTTTGCACCTGATAAAAACAATTGGAGTTTTTGTGAATTGCTATTTAGTTATGGTTATATCAGTGTGTTTCTCTTTTTCTTCTTTATGTATAGGAATTATTTATCATCTATTGTAAATATTTTTCTGTGTTTGTCATTTGTTATTCAATTTTGTCAATGGCCTTCCCATCTTTTCCTTCCAGGAGGTCCAGTGCACGTGTGTGTGTGTGTATGTGTGTGTGTGTGTGTGTGTGTGTGTTTTAATGAGGTCAAATTTATCCATATTTTCCTTTAAGGTTTCTAGTTTTGTTGCCAGTCTCAGAAACACTTCAACCAGCCCCAGGTTTATGTACACCTATATTTCCATCTAGTTCTAAAAGCCGTCTGACTAGAATTTAGTATATGGTGTAAGACAAGGATTTAACTTTATTACTGTTCCCCCGTGTTACACCATTTCTCAAATTATGTATCCTCTATCCACTAGTTTGAATGGCTGCTTTTATCACATCCCAAATGTTCCTGTGTGCTGGGTCTGTGCTCAGCCAACCATCCTGACAGCACATTACACACTCCGTTACCTTTTGCTACCCTCCTCTCTCCCCTCAAACCACTCTGTTCTGCATTTTCTCCTACCATGTCACAAACATTTCTCTGGCAGAGCTCATCATCAGACTCCTAATAGCCAAAGTCTGTGGATGCTTTTCAGAGCTTTTCTTGATGGACCTCTGTTACATTTGACATTGTTGACAATTCTTTCCTTCCTGAAATCCCTTGTTTCAAGGTGGTTTTGTTTGCCTGTTTGTCTTGGTATATTTTGGGACTTCTGGATTATTAGGTATGTGCATCTTCATCTTTGCTAAATAATGCCACAGTGTTTTCCAGAAGGAATGTAGTACTTCATACTCCCACCAGCAGTGTGCAATAGTCTAATGGGATTATTCAAGGACAAGCGTTGGTAGAACTGGTATGGTTTGGATTTCTCGTCCCATGGCAGTTGCTCAGTCCCCCCTTTGCACATTCACTCCACAAATCTCCTCTCTCTTGTGAACTTGAGTCCTGTTGCTTGCCTAAGCCAACCCCATGACCATTCCCACTCTCCCCACAACATAAACCAATTGAGAGCTTTAAAGTCACACCTTCCTAAAACTGCATTTTTGCATTTTGCGCTCTGTTCCAAAATCACCAGAGTCTTTCCAGGGCAGTCAAATGAAGTCTGAGTTTCTTGGATTGGCACCCAAGGCCTTCCCCTGCCCAACTTCCTCATTCTTTCTAACATTTATTTTCCTCCACTCTTTATAGGGTGCACTTGAATTCAGGCAAGGAGACCCATCTTGACGCGAGGGTTGTAAACAGTACAGCCACTCTGCAAGAACAATGTGGAGATAGTTAACAAGGATGAAAATATACATATCAAATTAATGAAGTTTTGGGGTGATGGGAGGTTCGTGGGGCCTGGAGCCAAGGGCCAAAAAAGAATTCTTGAAGATGTCTTTGGTGCAAAAATGGTGATTTTATTAAAGCATGGAGACAGACTCATGGGCAGAAAGAGCTGCACTGGGGTTGTGTCAGGAAGTTCATTATATACCCTCAGGTTGCAAGGGGGTCAGGGATAAAATCTCTAAGGTATTTTGGAAGCAAGGTTTCCAAGACCCTGAGGGGCTAGCTGTTGCTAGGGAAATACCACTTATTACCATTTAATAAAACCTCAGTCATAAGACCCTTCACATGTATATCGGGAGGTCATAAGCTTGGAGTATGATTGCCAGCATATATTTTAGGGCAGTTGATATAAAGGAAGTAGATTCACAGGATCATTGAAGTTGGGATAATGTTAAGCTAGGATTCTCTTCTGTCCCTAGCAAAGTGTCATCCTTGAGGCAGCTGAGCTCCTACAGGGAGGTCACTCTGCAGGTTTCAAGAACCTGTCAATGGGCGGTAGGCAGTAAAGGAATTTATTTTTCATTTGCCTTAGTTTCCCACATTACCATGGCAAGCACTTAAGCCCCTTTCCTTTGTTCTTGGGTAGCCAGGAGTGTTGGAGCAATAGCACACATATTCCTCCTGGGGTGTGTATGTGGGGGGGTGCTGTTAGCCTGTATTTTGCCCTCAGCTTACCCTACACTCCCTCATCGAAATGACCAAGCAATTTCACCTTTGTTCATGTGAACCAGGCCAAGTAAACAAGGATATTTATATAGCATAGTTTGTAGGTGCTCAAACTTGGAAGCAACCCAGACATCCATCAAGAATAGAATGGATAAGTAAGTTCCAGTCTCTGCACCCCTCCTCACTCTGTACTCCTACTGACCTAGTGTCAGGGGGTATGTTTCTTTTTCAGACAACATGTCTTCATTTAAAATAGGAGCCCAGGGGCACCTAAGTGGCTCAGTCAGTTGAGCATCCAACTTTGGCTCAGGTCATATTCCCACATTCGTGAGTTCAAGCCCTGCATCTGGTTCACCGATGTCAGCACAGAGCTTGCTTCAAATCCTTTGTCCCTATCTCTTTCTGTCCCTCCCCAAATCATGCTTTCTCTCAAAACTATATTAAAAGACAAAACAAAACAGGAGTCCAACTACCTACTTTACAAAACAGGATTTTTTTTCCCCACTGAAAAATGAATTTCCTATATCATTGTGTAAATATGCAGGAAAATTCTAACAAGTTGTGGTCAACTACTTGTGTTTTATCATTGTGTTAAGCATCTATGCGCTTTTTCTCTTTTTTAATCCATTTTTAAAAGTTTATGTACAGTAAAATTCATTCTCTTCTGGTATTCCGTTCTGAGTGTTAACAAATAATTACAGCATTTTTTAAACAAAGGAGTATCCATATAGGTCTAAAGTAATTTATCTTAGATTTTGTCCACTGAGACTTTGGAAAACAAAGCTTGATTTCATAATTTGGTAGGCAAGCTGTATTTGCTCTACAAGTTCACAAAACTTCAGTTTCACCTATTGGTACTTGCTCAATTGTTTGCATAGGTTCTCATTGTCTTCTAGAACAGCCAGTCCTGGGCTGACCCTTTCCATGAAGATTAGAAGGGAAAACAGGCCTGGATTTCAACTCTACAGAAACTTGACAAGCCATTGCTGCAGGTGGAGGGCCCAGCCAAGGGTCTTCTAAACCAGGTACCCTCCGCTGCTAAGTACATAGGTGACCTAAAACTCTAAGAGAAAGTCTGCCATAGCTGAGCTACCTCGTCATCTAGAAAGTGTCAAGATTTGATAGCCTAAGCATTGAGGGAGAGTGAACACTTGTCCCCTCATTTCTCCAAGAAACTCAAGGAAACTTGGACCTTTAGTAATCACACGTTTCAGAGTACATTAAGTCAACTAAGTTAACTGTTTAACCATAAGTCTACCATTCCATTTGTTTTGATATGATGCAAAAAAGTTTTTAAATTTTTCATTGATTGAAACCTAGAAATACCTGTATGCCATCCCATCAAGAGACCAACTTCTACTTCATCTAATATTTTACCTTCCCTATCCCAGTTGTTTTGACCTTTTTTCAACTGATGACTTTGAGAATGGGATGCTAAGCCTCCCAAGGCCATGGGATGCTGGCTTTGATGACAAGCCCCTCTGGTGGGGTAGGAATTAACATATCTTACAAGTTTCCAGGTGGTGCTGATGCTGGTGGTCAGGGAGCCATACTTTGAGAATCACAGCTGTAAAGGTAACAGTTATAGGAAATGTGAAGGCAGAGTAACTTATTAACACCATGAGGATATATTTTAAGTCCAGACTGAGAAATAGTTCCTTTGACAAATAAATTATACGGAAAAAGCAAGTAAGAAAGAACCTAGAGAGGCACCTGGGTGGCAGTCAGTTGAGCATCTGACTCTTGATTTCAGCTCAGGTCATGACCTCACAGTTTTATGAGCTGGGCCCCATGTCAGGCTCTGGGATCACAGCACAGAGCCTGCTTGAGATTCTCCCTCCCTTTCTCTCTCCCCCTACCCTGCTCACACTCTCTCTGTCTCTCTCAAAATAAATAAATAAACTTAAAAAAAAGAAAGAAAGAACCTAGAGATTAAAAGAGATTTAACAGGCATGGAGAGCAGAGCCAAGATAGCAGCATAGTTGAAATATAAAACTTGATCTGTGTATGAAGCTGGATGTCAACACTTCCAGATTTTGCCCAGGGCCTCCAACAGCAGGTACAGACTGGAATTCAGGCCAGCCTACTTAGACTGGGCACCTCCAAATCACTTCAAAATGGAAGGTTGCCTATCAACTCAAGTATAGAATATATCAGGAGCTCCTTGCTTGAGCACCAATAGAAAACAATATCTTACCATTGAGGAGGAGGTAGGGACAGACTCCAGCTTCTACTGTATAATCTGGTTCCAGGACGACACTGGGCATAGTGCTTTCATTGACATTCACTTCATAGATGTGATGCCTTTGACTTTAATATCCTGCAAAATCACTTCAAGTGGATAAAGCAAGTATCTAAGATATCTGAAGAATCTCAAGAACTGGACATTCATCCC